AAAAAAAATTAAATTCCCGCTTCCCATCCCGACAGCGGCTTCGTTTTCCAGAGTCGGGGAGGGGAGGGATGTGCTCTGACCTCTGACTTTTTGGGGCGTAACGCTCAAAAAGGCCGAGTTTTTAGCCCATCCGGGAGCCCAGCCCGTCTCACCGGCCTCTTGGCTCGCGAGAGCCGTCGGCTAGAAGCCCTTTCCCGCTCTCGAGCTCAACGCTTTCTTCTTTTTTTAATTTTTTTTTTAAATTTTTAATTTATTTTTTTTCCCGCCTCTCCGCCTGCTCTCTGCCAGCTGCACGTCCAAGAGGCCTCCGGCAACCACCTGAGCACCGAACCGAGCCAACCCACCACCAGCGTGGACCTCGATTTTTTGGAAGATGACATCCTGGGCTCGCCGGCCAGCGCCGGGGCGAACTTGCCCAACTCGGAACAACCCTGTGACATCCTCCAGCAGAGCCTTCAAGAGGCCAATATCACCGAGCAGACTCTGGAGGCCGAGGCCGAGCTGGATCTGGGTTCTTTCCAGTTGCCCACCCTTCAGCCCGTGGTGCAGGCGGGCTCTGATGGCGCCCCGCAGATTTTTTCCGGCGGCGCCGACCTGATCGGTTTGCAGCAACCCGCCGTCTTGACCCACCAGGCCTTGGTGCAGCAGTCGGTGGGCGCCGAGGTGGTCAACAAAGCCATCAGCGTTCAACCGTTCCTTCAACAAGTTGGGTTGGGCAACGTCACCATCCAACCCATCTCCAATCTTCAGGGTTTGCCCAACGGTAGCCCCGGCGGGACGCTGGGTATAGGACCTATCCAAGTGGTTGGCCAACAAGTGATGGCCATCAACCAACCGGCCCAACAGATCATCGCCAAGCAGGTTCAACCCTCGGGCGTGGCCACCATGCCAGTGGGCAGCTACATCACCCAAACGGCACCCGAGCAGCAGCAGGTCACGTTGGCCTCCACGGGGGTTTCTCCACAAAACGCCGGCCTCGTCATCCAAAAGAACTTACCGACGGTGGCCACCACCACGCTCAACGGCAACTCCATGTTCGGCAACGTCTCGGGGACTCAGGGCTCCCAACCGCTCACCGTCACCTCCAACCTGAGCAGCCCCTTGGTGCAGGCCCAGAACGTCATCATCCACCGGACGCCCACCCCGATTCAACCCAAACCCGCCGGCGTCCTGCAGCAGAAGCTCTACCAGATCACCCCCAAACCCTTCGGCCCCAACAACGCCACCTTGACTATCCAGAACGAAGCCGCCCTGCAGCAGCAAAAGGCCCAACAAAACTTGACCTTCATGGCTGGCAAACCCGGGCAGAACGTGGTGCTGTCGGGCTTCCCCCAGGGCCTCCCCGCCAACGTTTTCAAGCAGCCGCCGCCCCAGCAGCAAGCCCTCAGCAAACCCATGAGCGTCCACCTGCTAAACCAGGGCAGCAGCATCGTCATCCCGGCCCAGCACGTCCCCCAGGCCATGCTGCAGGGTCAAAACCAGTTTTTACTCCCGGGGCAACTGGCGGGAGCTTCGGCCGTGCAGCTCCCGCAGCAGCTCTCTGCCTTGCCAGCAAACATGGGGGGACAAATCCTGACCACCTCGCACCCCGGCGGGCAAGCCCACATCATCACGAGCCAAGGGCCCGGCGGGCAACTGATCACCAACCAAGCTTTGCCGGCGCAGATCCTCACCAACCAGAACATCGCCGGGCAACTGAACCTGGGCCAGGTCCTGACCTCCCAGAATGCCCACGGCACCGCTCACATCCTCTCGGCCCCCATCCAGCTCCAACCCGGGCAAGTGGGCCAGCCGGCGCTTTTCCAGATGCCCGTTTCCTTGGCTGGCAGCTTGACCACTCAAAGCCAACCCTCCGTAGCCGCTTCTTTAGGCCAGACTGGCCAAACGGTGATCCAGGGCGTGACCTTACCCAACCAGGTAGCCATGCTCAACGCCGCCGAGAACTTGGGCCAGGCGGTCAGCATCCAAACCTCGGCTACTAGCCAGAGCCCGGGGCTCGGCCAGCCTCAACCGGCCTCGGGAGCCGGCTTGTTGCCCGCCACCGACCAATCCTCCATCCTCACCGTCCAAACCGCCGCTCAACCGCCCGCCCCGCTGCAGCTCAACGTCCCGCCGCCGCCGCCGCCCGCCCAGCAGCCGGGGGCTTCCCAGCCCAGTCCCAGCCTGGCCTCCAGCCCGGAGAAGATCATCCTGGGCCAGGCGGCCGCCGGAGCCGTCATTAACCAGGACTCCATGCAGATGTTCCTGCAGCAGGCAAGTACAAGCCACCCCGGGCGTGTTTGTAGCCCGCGGGGGCCTGTGGAGGGCGACGCCGGGCGCTGCGGGGGGGGGGTTGTGTTTGATTCGGGTGTCGCGTGGGCCGAGAGCGCTCTTGGCGTGGCCTGAGCGTCGTCTCTGCCCGTCCCGGGGTGGTTCCCACCCTTGAGTCGGGCTTTAAATCCGTTTTAAGCCTCCAGGAGCGATGAGCGGGGCTTAGGCCGCAGCCTTAAGTCTTGGCGTCGTTTATTCCCACCCTCGAGTAGGGCTTTAAAATCATTTTAGCCTCCAGGAGCGATGAGCGGGGCTCAAGGTGCAGCCTTAAGTCTTGGCGTCATCTCTTCCCACCCTTGAGTCAGGCTTTAAATTCATTCCAAGCCCCCAGGAGCGATGAGCAGGTCTTAGGCCACAGCCTTAAGTCCTGACTTTGTCTCTGCCCACCGTGGGGTGATTCCCACCCTTGAGTCGGGCTTTAAATTAATTCTAAGCCTCCAGGAGCGATAAGCAGGGCTTAGGCCGCAGTCTTAAGTCTTGGCATCATCTCTGCCCACCCTCAAGTAGGGTTTAAGTTAGTTTTAAGCCTCCAGGAGCGATGAGCGGGGCTTAGAGCTCAGCCTTAAGTCTTGACATCATCTCTTCCCGCCCTTGAGTCGGGCTTTAAATTCATTCTAAGCCTCCGGGAGCGATAAGCGGGGCTTATGCCGCAGTCTTAAGTCTTGGCATCATCTCTGCCCACCCTCAAGTAGGGTTTAAGTTAATTTTAAACCTCCAGGAGCGATGAGCGGGGCTTAGAGCTCAGCCTTAAGTCTTGACATCATCTCTTCCCGCCCTTGAGTCGGGCTTTAAATTCATTCTAAGCCTCCGGGAGCGATAAGCGGGGCTTATGCCGCAGTCTTAAGTCTTGGCATCATCTCTGCCCACCCTCAAGTAGGGTTTAAGTTAATTTTAAACCTCCAGGAGCGATGAGCGGGGCTTAGAGCTCAGCCTTAAGTCTTGACATCATCTCTTCCCGCCCTTGAGTCGGGCTTTAAATTCATTCTAAGCCTCCGGGAGCGATAAGCGGGGCTTAGGCCGCAGTCTTAAGTCTTGGCATCATCTCTGCCCCCCCTCAAGTAGGGTTTAAGTTAATTTTAAACCTCCAGGAGCGATGAGCGGGGCTTAGAGCTCAGCCTTAAGTCTTGACATCATCTCTTCCCGCCCTTGAGTCGGGCTTTAAATTCATTCTAAGCCTCCGGGAGCGATAAGCGGGGCTTATGCCGCAGTCTTAAGTCTTGGCATCATCTCTGCCCACCCTCAAGTAGGGTTTAAGTTAATTTTAAACCTCCAGGAGCGATGAGCGGGGCTTAGGCCGCAGCCTTAAGTCTTGGCGTCGTTTATTCCCACCCTCGAGTAGGGCTTTAAAATCATTTTAGCCTCCAGGAGCGATGAGCGGGGCTCAAGGTGCAGCCTTAAGTCTTGGCGTCATCTCTTCCCACCCTTGAGTCAGGCTTTAAATTCATTCCAAGCCCCCAGGAGCGATGAGCAGGTCTTAGGCCACAGCCTTAAGTCCTGACTTTGTCTCTGCCCACCGTGGGGTGATTCCCACCCTTGAGTCGGGCTTTAAATTAATTCTAAGCCTCCAGGAGCGATAAGCAGGGCTTAGGCCGCAGTCTTAAGTCTTGGCATCATCTCTGCCCACCCTCAAGTAGGGTTTAAGTTAATTTTAAACCTCCAGGAGCGATGAGCGGGGCTTAGGCCGCAGCCTTAAGTCTTGGTGTTGTCTCTGCCCACCCCTGAGCCGGGCTTTAGCGGCCGGAGGGCTCAGGGTGGGGCTCAGGGCGGGGTCGGGGTGGGGCCGTGGCTGCTCCTCCCACCCTGGTGGCGCCGTTGGGGCCGTTTCAGGCGCCGGGTTTGAGCCGTGTTGGGGGGGTTTGGGTTAGTTAAGTTTTTTGGTTTGGTTAGTTCACTAGTTAGTTCCCTGGTTAGTTCAGTGGTTAGTTCCCTGGTTATTTCACTGGTTGGTTCACTGGTTAATTCAGTTAGTTCCCTGGTTAGTTCCCTGGTTGGTTCAGTGGTTAGTTCAGTTAGTTCACTGGTTAGTTCCCTGGTTAATTCCCTGGTTATTTCAATAGTTGGATCAGTGGTTGGTTCACTGGTTAGTTCACTGGTTGGTTCACTGGTTAGTTCAGTTAGTTCCCTGGTTAGTTCCCTGGTTAGTTCCCTGGTTAGTTCCCTGGTTAATTCCCTGGTTGGTTCACTGGTTGGTTCACTGGTTAGTTCAGTTAGTTCCCTGGTTAGTTCCCTGGTTATTTCACTGGTTATTTCACTGGTTGGTTCACTGGTTAATTCAGTTAGTTCACTGGTTAATTTCCTGGTTATTTCAATAGTTGAATCCGTGATTGGTTCACTGGTTGGTTCAGTGGTTAGTTCAGTTAGTTCTCTGGTTAGTTCCCTGGTTAATTTCCTGGTTATTTCACTGGTTGGTTCACTGGTTAGTTCAGTTAGTTCACTGGTTAGTTCAGTTAGTTCACTGGTTAGTTCTCTGGTTACTACCCTGGTTAGTTCCCTGGTTAATTCCCTGGTTATTTCAATAGTTGGATCAGTGGTTGGTTCACTGGTTAGTTCACTGGTTAGTTCACTGGTTAGTTCAGTTAGTTCCCTGGTTAGTTCCCTGGTTAGTTCCCTGGTTAATTCCCTGGTTGGTTCACTGGTTGGTTCACTGGTTAGTTCAGTTAGTTCCCTGGTTAGTTCCCTGGTTATTTCACTGGTTATTTCACTGTTTGGTTCACTGGTTAATTCAGTTAGTTCACTGGTTAGTTCTCTGGTTACTACCCTGGTTAGTTCCCTGGTTAATTCCCTGGTTATTTCAATAGTTAGTTCACTGGTTGGTTCACTGGTTAGTTCAGTGGTTGGTTCACTGGTTAGTTCAGTGATTGGTTCACTGGTTAGTTCACTGGTTAGTTCCCTGGTTAATTCCCTGGTTATTTTAATAGTTAGTTCACTGGTTAGTTCAGTTAGTTCACTGGTTTGTTCACTAGTTATTCCAATGATTAGCTTACTGGTTAGTTCAATATTAGTTCCCTGGTTAGTTTATTTCGTTGTTTAGCTCACTGGTTAGTTCAGTTCGCTTACTGGCTAGTTCACTGGTTAGTTCAGCTCACTGGTTAGTTCACTAGTTATTACCCTGGTTATTTCAGTTATTTCCCTGGTTATTTCCCTGGTTATTTAACTGGTTATTTCACTAGTTATTACAGTTATTTTGTTAGTTATCTCCCTGGTTATTTCCCTGGTTATATCACTGGTTATGTCAATAGTTATTTCAGTTATTTCCCTGGTTAGTTCAGTCACTTCCCTGGTTATTTCCCTGGTTAGTTCAGTCGCTTCCTTGGTTATTTCCCTGGTTAGTTCAGTCACTTCCCTGGTTATTTCCCTGGTTAGTTCAGTCACTTCCCTGGTTATTTCCCTGGTTAGTTCAGTCACTTCCTTGGTTATTTCCCTGGTTAGTTCAGTTATTTCAGTTTCTCCTTTGAACTCTTCTGGCCCGAGTGGGAGCGTGGAGGCGGCCGGGGGGGGACTCGGGGGTGACAACTCGGAAAAACAAGGAGGAAAACCCTCCTGGAAATGGGAAATTCCCTCCTGGGAACAGGGAAATACCTTCTGGAAATAGAGAAATATTCTGGAAATAGGGAAATTCTTCCTGGAAATAGGGAAATTCTTCCTGGAAATAGGAAAATTCCTCCTGGAAATAGGGAAACCTTCCTGGAAATAAGGAAACCTTCCTGGAAATAGGGAAATTCCTTCTGGAAATAGGGAAACCTTCCTGGAAATAGGGAAATACATTCTGGAAATAGGGAAATTCCTCCTGGGAATGGGAAATTCCTCCTGGAAATAGGGAAATTCCTCCTGGAAATGGGGAAACCCTTCCTGGGAACAGGGAAATTCCTTCTGGAAATAGGGAAATTCCTTCTGGAAATAGGGAAATTCCTCCTGGGAATAGAGAAATTCCTTCTGGGAATAGGGAAACCTTCCTGGGAACAGGGAAATTCCTCCTGGGAATG